TGCTAGCCCAGGAAAGAATCCAAATTGAAAATTCAAATAAATGTTTCTACTGAACATGTACCACTTCTATATTATGAAAGAGTCAACAAGCCATTAAGTCAAACCATTGAAAGCCTCAGTCTCTCCGTATACACTAAGTGCTGTTACAAGTGCTAGAGAGATGGCTATAAATGGAATGCACAGGTCCCTGCCCCATGGAGCCTATATTCTATCTATCATTCCTTTTCAGCTTGTGACATATCATGACTTCAAGATCATTTTCTGTCCTTTGCTCTAGCCAAGCATAGTCTTTAATATACTCTGGGGTCTTCCTTTCATCAATCATACCTTTATACTTTGTCCTTGAACCTTGCTTTATTTATAATTGCTACCTGGTCAGTTTTTATATTTTGATGGCTATAACTTTTTACTATTTATGGAAGAATCAAAGTATGAGCACTACCTCTCAAGATGTCAAGACTATTCTCAAAACACCCCTAATGCACGACTGTATGTCATACTTTGAACACAGGTGAAAACATCAGAACAGGCTTGAGTTCCAGGCAGTTACACATTCATTCATTCAATCAATACATATTTATGGAGCCTCTCCTGTGTGTCAGGCACTATTTTAGGTCTTGTGAAGACATGTGTGAAAAAATAGACAAAACATGTCTCGTGGTGTTTATAGCACAATGACAATACTCTTCACTGAGGCTAATGCTACCCACTACCAGCAACGTGGCACATGTGTTTTCAGTCACAGCTGAAACAGAGAGAGGGATCTGGGAGACATGAGAAGAAACAGGGTACTTTCTCTATGCCAACTCTGGCATAGCTGGACTGTGTTTACCACCTTGAGACTCCAGGAACCAATGGAGAGAAAAAGAAAAGCATGGAGCAGTAAAATAGAGAGGAAGTGTGTTGGAAGGCAGCAGGTGCTCCGTGCTGTCATACTTGGGGGTTGGGGGACAAAGGGGAGATAGGAAGCCCCATCGCTGATCCACCACAGAAATATGATTGCTGAGTAACAGGACACACTCCAGATATTCCAGCTTCCCTACTGAGGAGAGGCACACTAAATACCAGGGAGGATACGCAGAAGGTAAAGTGAAGGCTTTCTTTGGAATCTTGCTATCTAAGCACAGTCCAGATTAAGAGCTGTCACAGGTCATACGCACAATCCTCAGAAGGCACTGATGCCATGGTTACATAAAGAGGTTCTAAGCAGTACTCCATTTATTAAGAACTGAGGATCATGGGAAACTCTGTGTGGCTGTGGCTGCTCAGAAGTGGAGGTGTGCATCAATTCCATGAGGTCTTTACAAGTGCTCTTGGTCACACTGGTAACTGATGAACTGATGATATTTGGACCCTATGCATTTTCACTTGTGAATGATGTATTTTGCTTCCTTTTTTAGGTGGTTGGAAGATTTTTCTAAAAAGGGTCAGAATTTAAAGATGGCAGGACCTTTGAGAATAATGTAGTCTAATACTCATTCAGTGTAGGAATGCGCTCTACATCATTCCATCTCAGGGGACACTTGGCCTCTCTGAAACTGATGGTATGGTGAGGTAGCCCATTTCCTGATCAGAAAGCTTTCTCAGAAAATTTTTACTGAGCCAAAAGTTGCCTTGCTGGAACCTCCATGCGGCAGAGCCTGGTCTTGTTCCCTGAAAATTGCAGATCTCTTATTACTGGCCACGCTTCAGGAAGCCTGACCTGGAGAAGTCCACAGAGGCCTGCTGGAGATGGAGAGCTGACTCAGGTCTCAGCACTGCTGCCTCCAGGGCTTTACTATGAAAAGAATAGAATCTTCCACCGCCATATTTAGAAACCCTCCATGTCAGCACCTCAAAAGGGCACTACTGTCACTCTCTCCTAGACCTTCAAGCCCCACTCACAGAAAAGGAACAAAGAAAAATTTGGATTCACTGAAATAAATACAAGGAGGGCAGGGGTAAAGACTTGTATATGGATGCAAAAATGTTTTTGGATTACACTTTTTTTTTTTTAAGAACCCAGGGGCACTTAACCTCTGAGCCACATCCCTAGCCCTTGTTTATATTTTATTTAGAGAGAGGTCTCCCTGAGTTGCTTAGGGCCTCGCTAAGTTGCTGAGACTGACCTTCAACTTGTGATCCTGTTTCCTTAGCTTCCAGAGCCACTGGGATTACAAGTGTGCACCACCACACCTGCCACAAGTATGTTTGAATTCCTACAATTTATAATATCAGGGTATACTAACAGAAACACTCAGTTCTGAGCTACTAACCACATAAGCCTACCCAGAACTGTCTCAATGTGTTCAAGGCATGACTCATCACTATTGTCCTCCCTCCCTAAGTTTGCTCTCTTGGGTTCCAATCAAGTCATTAAGTTAGAAATCTCATTTTCAATTACTTGTTGAAATTTACCAACTGAACACCTACTATGTACACTTGTCTTTTGTTAACCTCTGGGTCAAAGATTGCTAACAAGTTACCAAACTTATTTCCTCCTTTTTCTAGCTCCAAGTAGGCCAATTTTCATTAGGTGTGGTCATAATACTACATCTAGGCAATGGAGTGTTAGTGGCCATGATATGTGCCACGTCTAGGTTTGACAGTATACCATCCTCAGTGCTATTTTCTTTCTCACTAGCTATAAGTAGATGCCTAGGCCTCCTGATTCCTAAATGACTTTAGATTAGATCCTCTCCCAAAACCTATGTCTGAGTGATAAATACAATTTGCTTGTATTTGAGTCATCATTATACTTTCCTTTGGTGGCCAATTTGTTAGTAGTAAAATAACTTATATATCTTCTATTTGTCTTTCATTCCTAATAAATATTCCTCAAGCATTATATTCCACGTATTGAGTGAAATACTAGGGAAACAAAAATGACTACAGGAGGTCACAAGGTTTACCTAAATGAGGTCATTAAAATTCAATATAATATCATCAAAGTAGTATGGACAGCTTAAGTTAGTCACAGTGGAATGACGCAAGGCTTCATTTTTGAGTCCTAGGCTGTAGTTAAACTACTTAATCTCTGTGTGTGTTAGCATTCCCACCTGTCAACAGAATATTCCTTTCTATCTCAGTAGGGTTGGGTGGCTTAAACTGAATAAAATTATGCATAAAAACTATTTGGCCAACCATAAAGTACTTTGAAACTTGTAACTTCATGCACAGTAACTGTTTTAATTCAGGACCAGCATCCTACTTGGAGTTTCTGCCAAAAATCCAATATATTCTCAATACTACAGGGATATATTTCCTCACTCTAAGCTCAAACTGGTCATTTCCTTTCTTAAAAACAAAACAAAACAACCTTCTAAGACTCCTGAAAGCTTCAAAAATATAAGTCAAACATGTCCTATATGGCATGGTCCCAAATTTATTTTTAAATGTAAAGCATTCCCTCTACAATTCCATGATTTTCTTCCACTCTACCCACCTATGTTTCAGCAGCCCACAGTATTTCTACAACATACTATATTTTCTTACCTCCTTGATTTTGTTCTTCACTCTGATATTGTCCTTCCCACACCCTCTGAGAATGAACACCCAAAATTTTCCAAGATCCACTCAAACACAACCAGTTCCATAAAGCTTTTCTCTAAAATACTCTTCAGAACATCACACTCCTTTGCACTCACAGCATTTCATCAAATTCTTTTTTTTTCCTCTACTATAGACATCTTCATTTTGAAGCCTACTGTTTTCAGGAAGGATACAGAAGGAAATCTAAGTATTTAATGAAGACATGTTACACTGGAGGGAAAAGTTTCAAAAGACAGTTCAATTTCTTGTGATTGGTTCACCAGAAACAGTCAAATTATAAGAGCAATGGAATTCTCCAGATAGAGAAGAAAATATTCCTATGCTTTAGGATTGATTGCATTCAGAGGATGCTTTACAAAAGCCATTACACAGAACTTTTGTGTTGAAAGTCACTTTTATAACAATAAATGTAATCCCCTCAGCAGAAGAGCAGCACCAAAGTTGAAAGTCATTAATTCATTTCCCTAGTCAATCTTTCTTTACAGATTTCAGTGCAGTCTTATTTTAGGAATATGAGAGAAACAAATGTGTGAAATTGTTCCACTGATACCATCCAAAGCTTGTAAGTTAGTATTTTAAAGGAACTGGGCATAAGTTGCACATTTTTATTCATTTACATATATAAAATAGAGTGTTAATTAATAAAAATAATTTAAGTTGCTCTTCTCATCAACAAAAAGTTTGATTCTACTTTCTTCCTTATGATTAAAAAAAAAAAGAGGAGAGGGGCTGGGGTTGTAATTCAGTGGTAGAGCATTTGCCTAGCATGCATGAGGCACTGGGGTTCAATCTTCAGCACTACATAAAGTAAATAAAAGAATAAAGTTATAAAAATTATATTTAAAAAAATGGAGAGGGATGCTAAGTATTCTGTGTATATCTTCTGATTGAATACTGGGTGACCTGCCATATTCAACACAAAAAGTCTATTAGAATGTATGTACCATAATATAGTACTAACAGTATTTCCTATTATGTATTCTTGTAATAACCTATACGAAAATGCAAGAAGAGTTCCTTGGGAAAATTTCTGTAATACAGAAAAATGAGTTTAAATCCGTCTATGAGTGAGGGGCAGGGTACAAAATAGTCTGTGACAACTATGATACACTAACATCAATTAGGAAATATTTTCTAGATGTTGTAATAAATTGTATTATTATAAGACATGGATCAAAACTTATGAAATTTAGTGCAAACCATTTCCTAAGAAAGCAGTAAGAAAAACTGTAACAACTAACCACAAAACACCAAGTGAAATATTCTACGTGGAATAAGCCCATTTTTTCCATGAGCCTTTAAGTCACGGACTGAACAATTCAACCAGTATCCTCACTCTAGGTTAAGTGGAGGGCAACAATTGAAAAGCTGTTAGGTGTGTATCCCAGTGTTCAGAATGCACAGATAAACGTGGTGGGCCCAGAAGGACAGAAACTAAGCAGCCCTAGCAGGCCCTGCAGAATGCTTACCTCCAAAAGTGAAAAGCGAAGAGAGGACTACAAGGACTGCCTGGGCTGGATGGGGTTGGACTCAGGCTCCTTGGAGTGAGACTGAAAGTTAAAATAATGTCATTCCAAGTGGGAGAAATGATTGCATCAAAAATAGCACAGCACATTGAAGGGACTGTGTTCCCTTTAAGCCAGAATCACTATGGCATGATTATCAATATGACTAAGGTCATCATCTAATCACTTGCCCTTTTTCAGCTCTAAAATACAGAACAAGTTAAAGGCTTCCTGCTGAAATTTACATTTTAAAAACTACAGCTGCCATTTTTATTTGAGCCTTTTCTTTGTCACAAAGCAACTTGGCAGATACGTTGGACATGTGATTTTTGCATCAAAGAAAATCCAGATCCGTTTTATATTGGGTATACTCTCTTCCAGTAAATCCATAGCAGAACTAAAGAGGTTAGCAGGCAATGAAAATAAAGATTTGGCTTAAATATACTGTAGTTTTAAAAAGCAAAGTAACTAATATTTTCATATAAAATAGATATATTTAGTACCTTGCAGGGAAAAGTGGGTCTTCCTTATAATAAAGACCCAACATAATTTTTTTTTTTAATCCTCAGGAGTGATGATACAAGATTCTGCTTATGCTGATACTTATAGTAAATACTTAAAATTCCTATATGTAGCTATGAATTGTTTTACTTTCTAGAGATGTTTTTACAAATTCAACTATCAATGAACCACTGTAATTCCTGCACTAATTCATCCCAACCACCAAGCATATTCAGCAACCAACTCTCAAATATTCATCTCAGGGTGGTTGGAATAGAGCTCATTACTTTTTTTCTTTTGGCCCCATATCTCCTCTTTGTTAACTTAAATTAGGTTCCTTACTTACTGGAATTTTGTCAACAGATTTATCAAAGTATAAATTTGATACTAGTGAATTCCCAACTATTTTTACCTGGAAGAATAAAACTAAGAAATAGTTAGGTATTCTGCTTCCAACTTTGAGGGTGAAGTAAGTAATGGATACTTGTGTTACAGTGCAGTGTGCTTCTAATAGAACATTCTGACTCCACATCACACTATGCTTTCTTATCTTAGAGAACAGACATAGAATAGAGCTACAGTGGCTATTTCAACCTGACTGTGTCCTTCACTGCCACAGAGCATTGGCAACAGCGACCAAACTAAAATCTGGGTTTACTATCATTTGCAAATTCTTAATGCTATCGTTATCTCCCTTTATATGGATAATTGAGAGTTGGCTGTGTTTGTCTTAAAATGTATCATAATATTTTTGCTCAAAACACTTTACTTTACTTAATAAGGTATTTCAAAAAGTTTGATAACTTTTTAAGTCATTCTCTGGTTTAGTGCCAGTACTTGGCAAACTAAGGAATTGACCTCCTTAGTTGAAGGAGGTAAACTTAATAGTACTCAAACTTAACAGCTCATTGGAAAGTTCTCAGGATGTCCAATGATATGTCTGTCCTTTTATCTAAGTACTGTACAGTCTTATCTATCCTTTCCAGTCCTAAAACAGACACTCATAGGTACTGACGCCACTCCCTGTCTCCAAGCGGAAAACGCATGTGCTAAGAAGTATCTATGAAGCAAAATATGCTTACATTAAACACAGAAAAAGTAAAAAGAACAAAGGAAAGACACAATGACATTCTTTTTTCCAGAAATTGGAAAGCCAGGCAGAGGCACATAGATGTCATAAATTAATGACTCGTTAATTTCTGAAATACCTGTTTATGTGGTATCTCAGGTCTAGGATTTCCATTCTGAAATAGGAATCAGTAACTACCCCATGTCATTGATAACAGAGATGGGAAATTCTGAATTGCATCTACAGAGTATTAAATATGCTCATGTAATGAATGATCCATAGCTTCTGTGCCTATGGAATCAACTCTCTTGAAAGAAAAACTATAATGTCTCAAGAGGGAACATCCAAAAACTATTCTAGACATTTGGTCTGTGAGTTAGGGCCCTTTTATAAGGTCCCTAAACAACTAAAATTATGTATATTAAATCTGCCTTTAATAAAATCAGTGATAAGACTTCTCATTGTAACAATTCTCTGCAGTGGTAAGAAGCTAAATTTACTCAAAGACTAGCTTCATGAATGAATGCAACTTTAGCTATGCTTACTTAAGAGTAATTTTACATTTCAAGGTAAACAAAGTGTTCAAAGTAAATCACATGCTAATAGTACATGTAAGAGTGATCCTCTATTCTACTGTGTATGCTCTTCTAATTTAACAATTATATCTACCAGGGCTGAGGCTAAACCAAGGGGGAGTGGTCGGATAACAAATCAAAATCCAAGCAACCCTTGTGTTAGCTGACTCCTTTGTCCTGTCACCATTGGCAAAGTCATGAAACCTGTAGCAAACCTCAATCTTTCACATTATAAAATGGAATGCCTGCTATACTAAATTTGTATTGTACAAAAGAAGAACTATAATGTCTCATGATCCTCTTAATGTGGATGAGATACTCAAAATAAAAGTAAAGGATGAAGATGAACTGATATCTACTAAGTCAGTCTGAAGAAATCAAGGAAGTGGCACAAAAACTGGAGGTAAAAGCCAATCTGGGGTTAATGCTCCTGGGTCTTAATACAGAACTATGGCTCTCTCAGGTGGGTCTCCAGAGAGTAAGGGAGAGGAAGAGGAAGTGGAAGAAGCATAGATGACCCAAATATTCCACACGGATAGCAAGGGTTGAATGCTAGGGCGAGGTTGAAGATGAGAAAAACCAATGGCGAAGGGTAAATAATGTCTGTATCTATATTATGATGAATGTCACATCTACCAAGAAGGTTCTAAAAGCCCTCTAACTTTTCATAAGTGAGATCCTCATTAGTGTAAAATCAGTGCACAGTTTTGGAGCAAGGATTGATTTAAAAAGTATTCATTTCAGAATGTTGTGCTTTTATAAGTTTGTTAATTTAATTATTAATTCTTATTAATTCCTCTCATGTGATGCATCTATAGAATTCAAGAGGAATAATTAATACTTGGAACTGGGCACATCTCTCTTCCTGCAGTCTCTTCCTGAAGGTAGCCCAGTATAAGATCATAGGGACTGTACAGATTTCACGAAAATATAGTATCGTATCTGTGTTGTAAATGAGAAAAAGGGATATTTATATTTTTCTATGAGATTTATAATTTACTATTTATTATTTTAAATCTACAAGCACACACTAACCCACAGCTTCTGCATCTTTAACTAACAGATTTAAAATAAAAATTTGCTGACACTTCCTGCATCCCAGATGTCTAACTTCTGCGCCACAAATTAGATGTGGACATTTTCACATAGCTACATCAAATCAGAAGGCAGTGAGATGAGTTAATGGGTTAAAAAAAAAACAGCTAAGCAAACACAGAGCTCAACTAGGTAAACACTGTATGCAGTGGCTGGAGACTCTGCAGAGAGGATTCTAAATGTACTCCAGTTCATTAATATTCTGTTGCACTGATAAAACATGGATCATATCTAATGACTGTCACAAATAACCCTTCCCTTGCACTCTAATCCACTGTAATGTTTTCTATTATTCAATGCAGACAGAGACCTTTCTTTAGAAACAGACATCATGAGGATAAACAAACAGGAAGAGAGAAAGAGAAAAAGACAGATACACCATGGCCTACTGAGACATTCTTTCACAATGAGCTGTTAAGATGTTTCCAGAACTGAGGTTTACTTAGTAACTTTAAATATGCAGCAGTGCTTTCCTCTGACTGCAATGCAAAATGCTGGGTCTGGCTTTGCACATTAGCTGAAACCAAATGCCATGCATTTAAGACATGTTCTTCCACCTCACACTGCAGTGCTCTGAGGCTGTCACTACAAACAAATGCTAAATAGCTATTGGTCGCCCGGAAAGCTAGTGCCATGCAGAAAGCATTAAAATATTAAAGACAGACAATACTTACTCCAAGGTCAGCCCCGGAATCTGTAGCCTTTCCCGCTGGGCTTTCATGGTTGTTATATGTTACCACACTCTATTGTAACCATGACACACATTCCCTGCCAGCGTCCTGGTGATGACAGAGAGCCAAAAGGAACCTCTCTAAAGGACTGGACTAACAACCTCTCGAGGGGGAGGGGGATCCTGCAAGTTTGGGTCCTTCCACCTCTAGCGTAATCAAGAGCTGTCAGCGGCTTTCTTCAGGTTAACGGCGGTGCACACTGCACTGATTTCGTTAAGAGAATGAAGCTTGCAGTTCTGCATATCAAGTAATTGGTTTCTGATTTTTTTTTTTTAAGAAAGTCGCTCCACTCACAGACCCACTTTTCACCTCAGCGAAATGAAGAGTTCTTTTCACCATGCAGACTGGGGGGAAAAATAAAGCAACAGTGTCATACTTAAAAGAGTTTATCTTAGCAAACGTCAGCTATTCTCTACATCCCTGTGATGCTCAGGAACAGAATCTTGCCACCTCTAGGAGACTGAGCTTACTCTTTCCTTGGAGTTAACAAAATCACTCATATTCCACAAGAGATGAGGAACAGTGCCAAAAGAAAATCATTAGATTTTCTTTTTTTCTTCTTCTTTACACGGCAATCATCAGCAAGAGGAACAAACTAACTGAATCTGGGAGAAGGTGAGCCTTGTCTTGAGACACAGACTTGTGTGAACTGGCAAAATTCAAGATGAGAAAATACCAACCGGAAATGCAAGAGACAGGAGCTCATGTCTCTGTTTTTGAAAAGCTGGCTTTAAAGAACATCTCAGTGTTCCATACTTTACAGAAGCAATCTAATGTGATTAGGAAGGAAAGAGACAACCTATACTTTGAAAGCCTGAAAGTTTCATCCTGTATTTATTCAAAAAACGCAATTTTTCACAGTATTCATGAGTTGGAACTAAGTGTACTTCCATTGTTGTATATGAAGAACACATCTGACTCACTTCCTCTAATGCATTTTAAAATGCTTTAAAAATTTGGCAACCATTGGTTTGTTGAGAAGAAACACTGGAACAAATTAGAACTCAAGTTTATCAAGAATTCTAATTCTCAAGCATTTAAAAGGCTTCACGTGCATGCGTGTGTGTACAAACACACACACATACACACACAAACACAGCATAGCACCTGAGTGAAGTGATAATGTTTAAGTAGTTGTTTCAAAGGCTGTGGCAGTCAAACTCTATCTTTCCACAGATCTAGAAGCCAAGCCAGGATAAAAGACCCTAGAGTGCTTACTCTTATCTCAGAGACCTTCATAGGCAGGAATGCCATGTGTGGTTATTCCGTGTATGCTGCACAAGGGTGCTGGCGAGGGGAAAAACAGAGGCTGAAAGCCAGCCTTCTCCCCACTTTGCCAACCCTCCACTTGGCTCTGTGCTGCTTTTACTCCCATTTTTCTCATTTTCACAGTGTCACGTGACCTTGAGAGCCACCTGTTTCTAACTTTACCAAGGTAACCATGGGCTAGTGGAGGTTTATATGATATTCCTAGAACCCTTTACTAAATAAACCCTTCTCTGCCAATTTTCTCTGTGATATTTGTTAGTAACTAGTTGCCAAGTGCACAGAACTAACCAGCTCCCCTTTTAGAGGCAACAATCTGTACTAGAAATGCAGTCATTGGATAGTCACTGCTCCATAAGGAAACAGACAGAAATGTATAAAATAAGTCGAATTTAGTGTAAAGAAGCATGACAAGAAGAAATCACAAAGATATTAGGGAATACAAAGAATGAGGGATCAACTTAGGAAAGTCAGGGAAGGTTTGAAAGCATAACTGTTATGCAAGTGATGATAAAAGAAAAAAAATCAGTTATCAATACCAAAGCAATAGAGTTAAATCATCACATTCTTTTAAGGAAGCACTGCACTTCAGGAAACATGTTAGGATATAATTCAATAGACTTCTATACACAGATTTTAAGTGTATTAACCACAAAACACTTTCACATGGATTTCCTTGTAATATCCCTAATTTAACATATCCCAAAGCAAACTTATCTTCTCCTCACACCCTCCTGTCCACAAATAAGCTTTCTTCTGATGAAAACTATGCAGAATCTCACCACCTAAACCACCCTGATCCAAGATATGTTGTATTTTAGCTAGATTAATTCCCTCCTAACTTATCCCTCCACTTCCTCCCTGGCACCCCTCTACACTTTATGGGACACAAACTCCAGAGTGATCTTTTCTCAAACATGTTACTCTTTTGACCAAAACCCAAACAACTTTTCTCTCATTCACAATATGAAACAAAAATGAGATAATTATGGGAGGGAATGAAGATAGCAGGATCACTTTTGGAGGATGTTAGAGAATTATCCCATTGATATGGAAAAGTTCAAAAGGAGGAGAATCAAGCATCTTCATGCTTTCCCTATGAACTGCATCTCATAGATGAGGAAGTGATTTTCTTTAGAGAGGCATTCTCACTGGTAATAAGGAAGGGATGACAGACGGAGGATACCACAATTTTCAAACCCAAATAAAGCAGTCTATCTGAGCCATGCTCATCAATGCATGAAGACACCCAGAATAGAGGCACCAGGCATTGTGTTTCCCTTGAGGAAACACAGGTAGGTGAATTAGTCTTACCAAAAATTTACATTGCTCTTGGATATAATCAAGTATCGGCCTCAAACACAGGGCCAAAGAACATGTTAAGAAATATCACAGAGATCAACAGAAGCTAGAAGTGAAAATCAGAACAAATGACTGGTTTCCTAAAAATTTTTAATGGGTTCAGGGGGATGGGAAGGAAATTTAAAGATTAAGAATGACAACAACAGTTGCAAAGTCCGAACTTTTTATGGGTCCTGATATCACAGAAATGGAATGCACACACATAATCTAATATTTAGAAAATAATCGGGGCTGGTGTAGTGGCTCAGTGGTAGAACACTTGCCTGGCATGTGTGAAGCCCTGGGTTCAATCCTCAGCACTGCATATAAGTAAATAAAAGATCTACAGGCAACTAAAAACCACTTAGAAACTGATTAAAACTGAAAAGAATCAGTATAATGCAGATATTATACACACTAATGCCTTTTGCACTAAATATATGTTTGTGTATGTAAATATGTATATATACAAATGCAAATAGACAGTATGGATACCTGATGAAACTCATCAATTATTTTTAAGTATAATATTAGATCATGATCACTTTTAATTTCTTATCTTTCAGAGCAATATACAAAAATATTCATAGATGAAATAATATGTGTAGGGTTTGCTTCAAAATAATCTGGGAAGGGGGAATAAAAGATAATAAATATAAAACAAAACTGGCTATGGGTTACTATTTATTAAATCTGGGTGATGGGTTGATTATACCATTGTTTCTACTTTAGTATGTTTGAATTTTTTTCTAGCAAAAAATTGAAGAGGAACCTCATCAAGCCTCCAAAAGTTCCTTCCACAGGATAGTCACAGACCCACACCTACTTGCCCTTCCCTAGACTCAAGATTCTACAAGGAGCTGGGTGTGGTGGCACAAGCCTATAATCACAGTTGCTCAGGAGGCTGAGGCAGGAGGATCATGAGTTTAAAGCCAGCTTCAGCCAAAGTGATGGGCTAAACAACTCAGTGAGACCTGGTCTCTAAATAAAATACAAAATAGGGCTGGGATGTGGCTTAGTAGCCAACTGCCCCTGAGTTCAATCCCTGGTATCAAAAAAAAAAAAAAAAAGATTCTACAAGAAATATGCAAAATATAGAACCAAGAGTGAAAGTGACCGTCACTTCCTGTCTTCAATTATCTATTATTCTTCAAAGACAAGCACAGTTGAAGAAAACTTTCAAAGAAGGTGAATGTGTACTGTACTTTTATCACATATAGGTTTATCACATAGTACGAGTTGAATAGAAGTATGAACACTATCATTTTCAATAGCTGATATTATTTGTTCAAAAAATTCTATTCAGCAATACATGCTTTGGGTGCAAGAGATACAGCGGTGGATGAGACTGAGCGGCATGTTGATAGAGTCCATTAATTCAAGAAAATAAATAGGATAAGTTCATTTCTGATAATGCAGGGTCACAGGGCAACAGAGAGTCAGGGAATAGAAGATGTCTTTGGATCACAGATCTGAGGACACTGGTATGCAAACTTCATTGGCAGGGAGAAGTGCTGCAGTCTGGCTGGGCACGATTCAGGAGCCACTTGTCAAAAGAAACGAACTTTATTTTTAGAACCACACACGCCAAACAAAACAGCTCCTCAGGAAAAACCCTCAGAGCCCAACTGCCACCACCAGCTTCCCACAAGCCTCTCCCACCACCCCAAGCCTCTCCACCTCCCACAATCCTCCTGCTCTTGAGGCCGATTGGCTGGGTCCCGTGGGCAGAGCCAAAAAAGTCCCCCAATGAGCAGCTCCATGGTCTGAAAGGGCAGGGAAACAGCCCAATGAGCATCACCACAGAGGAGCCAATCAGCTAGATGTTGCTGGGGCCGCTGTGAGCCAATCATCAGCTGGCAGTCTGAAAGGGTGAGGAAACAGCCCAATGAGCATCACCGCAGAGGAGCCAATCAGCTAGATGTTGCTGGGGCGCTGTGAGCCAATCATCAGCTGGCAGTCTGAAAGTTTGCTGGGGCCCCTTCAGCTGTGGCTCTCAACAGAGAAGTCTGCCAGCCCATGAAGTGTCAGGGAGGGAAGGGGACAGCAATAGCAAAGACTCTGAAGCTGGAACAAGCCTGGCTCATTTGATGGACATCAAGAAACCCGTGTGTGATAGACAGTCACTCAACAAATATTTATTCAACATTTTTATAATGCAAGGCATTATGGGGATGCAAAGGTGAACCGCACTTAAGTTTGGTTCATAAGAACTGAATCATTGGGTAAAGCAGGAGGAGGGTACAATCAAAGGGGGAATCAGATTCATGTTCTAGATGCTGATATGTAAGAAACTGGTTTGATTGGGGGGGGGGTGGTTCTTTTAATAAATAGAATTAGCTTTTCAACCAGGACTTTATTTGAAGCTGGTTAATGGTTTCTAAGGACTCTCCATCATTTTACAAGGCAGGTAACATGAGGCTGCCTGCATATGATCATCCACTGAAGGACATGTAGTAAACTTCTTCCTGTAGCCAGTACATGAGAGAGGGGGAAAAAATGATGGACATGATTCTGTGCTGGGGGGCCCTGATGAGGAAAGATCAGGACAGAAGCATCTTCCACTCTTTCACACATCTCTCTCTCATTCATTGTCTCTCTCACTCATTCATATTCTCATTAGCCTCTCCCCTCCCCTTTCCTGCTCCTCTTCTTTTCTCTCCAAACAACAGAGGCCTTTTCCTGCTAGTCAGAGGGTTTATCACTGGCATTCACACAGCTTGTTAAAGATATTTTAAGATATCTAAGGTGTCACATTTACCACCAGCACACCTCTTCTCAAGAAACTGAAGAGTGTGTGTTCCAACTGAGTCAAGAATTAAACCATTCAAGAAATGCATGAGATCAAGGAAAGGGCAGTACATGGAGAGAGGTGAAGGGAGTCAGCAGAATGATGGAAACCATGGTGAAAGAGAGTCCCCAAAAGGCTGCTGCCATGCAGCAGGCCACAGAGCCCCCGTCCAGCTGGGACCACAAAGTAGAGAGCTCAGGAGGCCACTTCAAAGAAGACTCAGCAATAGGCTATCTGATGCATTTGATAGTGTGGAAAGTAAAAATAGGGCATCCTCGCTCTTCTGCAGAATATGGAAAGGATCCAAGACGGCTACATAAAATCTAGCAAAGGGAAAAATACCCCAATTATTAACTCCAGGAAAAATGCAAAGTTATAAAGTAAGTCATTATGATTGGTGGAAAAATGTACACACAAATAACCCACGTTATGGACAGCAAATAATGGCTCCTCTAAAGATGTTGCAATCCCCAGGCCCTAAAAATATATTATCTTACAAAGCAAGTGGAACTTTGTTGATGAGATGAGCATCTATATTGTCTTGTGGATTCAATGTAATCACAAGAATTCTCACAAAGGGGAGGAGGGAGTCAAGGGAGTCAGTCAGACACAGCACCAGTGGAAGCCAAGGTTGGGTAATGTGGCCAGGACCAGGGACTAAGGGTAGCCTCTAGAAGCTACAAAGGGGAAGAAACAGATTCTCCCAGAGAACTTCCAAAAGAAAAATGGACTCTGAGTCTAGCCCCATAGAATTCATTTCAGACTTTTGATCCCCAGAACTATATGATAATAAATCTGTATTATTTTAAGAGATTGAGTCAGTAATTTGTTGTAGTTGCAATTGGAAATTAAGATGTATTTAACTGAAATACCATAAACATTAAAAATAAATTTAACCCAAAAATCATACTTTTAACAGTGTTATCGGTATTTAGGGGAACTGGGGAATGGAAAAATAATATGGTATGGGATGAAGTTGTACAAGAGTTAAGTCTTCAGGTATCATAAATCAAGTCAACATACAAAGGACAAGATTGAAAATAAGAAAGACCAAACTAAATACATTATTGCGAAATGTGGAGAACATTATTAAAGAGCTCTGAGGGAAGCAGGACTGGAAGGTGGGAGGCGTGAGGCAGGATGACAGTTTTTCATAAGCCTGGCAGCATTATTTAATTTTTTAAATTCTACATATACTTTGATAAGAATAAAAATTAATGTTATAAAGAAAAGAGATTAGCTGCCAGAGATACTAGTAATTCCTTGCTGTATCTCTGAATTTCAGTGTATTCACTTTTATTGAAACATCATCTAATTTCCTTGCACTCATTATCTACCATATTCAGCTAGACTCAGTAGTATTTTAAAAAGCGGAGAGAGGTGAACCATTTTCCATCTCTTTAAGATTTAGTAATTTTCTTCCTTACAACAATATCTCCCTCATGATTAATCATGTGAATTGAAATCTTTATAAACAGAAAGAAAATTAAAAACAAGCAAATAAAATAAAAGGCAATGTACAGAGTAGCACTTGAAAACGAAGGGGGATCACAAATGTGCATCCTCTTCTTCATGTGATACAGGCTCCAGGACGCAGTGCCACATTCCATAGATCAGGATACTTCCCTGGTGTGAACACTTGTGCTGCCTTTCTACCTCAAGCCCCCAGCTGGTATTAAACTACTCTTTGGATTCAGATTTTACTCTGGAGTGAAACTTTATGATACCCACCAGGCTTGCAATTAAAATCTCTTTTCCCAAGCAGCTGAAGACCAAGAGCATTAGCAGCCACGGATCAGGTTGTGCCAAGTTCCTGCAAGGTACTCCCTGAACTCAAAGGCTTGGCACCTTCTTTCCAATTCTATAGCAACTGTACTCCAGTTTGGCTTTGATGATAGCACTTATCTCCTCTAGTTACATTGATTTTGGGTCAAACTTAACTCCATTCCTCAACTTGAGTCTAATCCAGGCAGCACGGTCCATTCTCTGATCCTGAGATTGCTTGGAGGACATGTATATGACTGAAGTCAGGCTACAAACAAGTTATTAAGAAAAGAGATTATTTTCTTGCTGTATTTGAAGTTGGCAGGTTACATATCTTCAGTTGTCTTGTGACCACCAGAATAGTACCTATATTCTACCTGAAAGGGCAGAGCCAACACAGACAAGAGCAGAAATTAGCTGTTAATTAAATTGTTCTAGTCATGTATCAAGGCATTCCACACTCACAGTTTCCAATTCGGTGTCCAACAAATCCCTTCTCATAGGCCAGTGTGGTTTGGCTATCCTGTCACTTGTAACACCAAGATTATCAGAAGGCTTTGTGAGTTGTATAAATGTTCAACTTAACACCTTAACACCTTTTTTATTCCCAGAAGAAAATAAAATGGCTCAACAAATCCAAAGAATCTTAAGACCTAATTTTACAAAATTTAAACAGAAGCAGCATTATTTCAAATAACTCCAAACTGGAAATTACCCAAATGCCTATTGACATAAAATGGCTAAGTGCACTGTGGCACAGCCACAAAATGGCATACTGCATACCAATGAGAATGAATGAACCATAGCCACATTCATTGTAAGATGAATTTTACAATCACATTGAACAGAAGAAAGTGTAACTACCCTTGGGAAAGTAAAACACTGCAGTCACTTTGGAAAAGGGCATGGCAATTTTTAAAAAACTTAAGAATGACCTTAGGATCTAGCCATCCCACTTCAGGGATTATTCCCTCTCCCCCAGATGAAAACAGGGACTCAAAACATGTATTTTGGGTCACACCACGTTCACAGCAGCCTTCCTCACAATGACCAAGAGTGGAAGCAAGACAGGTGTCCATCCATGGATGAACAGATGAATAAAATGTGGTGTCAGCTATATCATGGAAAATTTTTCAACCTTAAAAATGAAGGAAATTCTAATACATACCACCAACATGGATGACCCCCAAAGGCATTATGCTAAGTGAAATAAGCCTGTAACAAAATGAAAAAGTATTGTATGACTTCACTTATAGGAGTTGTCTAGAGCTGTTAAATTCATAGACATAGAAAGCAAATGAGGCTGGGGGAAGGAAAGGTAACTCAGTGTGTAATAATACAGAATTTTAGTTAGGGAAGATGAGAAAGTTCTAGAGATGGATAGGGATGGTTGTAAATTATACACTTAAAATTGGTAAAATGGAAACTTTATGCTATGTATATTTTACCATATTTTTTTTAATTTGGCTGCAGCCAGGTTCAGAGGGCACAGCTTTTGCTGTAATCAATCAATCCCCTGAACCGTGAGAAAAACAGCATACTACAGGGACATAGCCACATCAATGTTTATAGCAACACAATTCACAATAGCTAAACTGTGGAGCTTACCACAATTTTTTTTTTTTTTAAGGGGAAAAGAAAGTGTACCTATGCTGTGGCTCTACCCAAACTGTGCTATTACACATCAGGACTGTGGTTGAGGTAGTGAAGAGTGGAGTACAGTGGGGAAAGGAGTGACAGGAAGCACTAAGAGGGCTCTGGCATACAAATTTCATCTTGTCTTCTTGACCTAAGTACTGGTTACATGCATGTGTTCAGTCTGTAAAAATCCTCCAAGCCTGTGAATTTGAGAGTTCCTTATAGTCTCAAACTGCATCTCTCATAAAAGAGACCATTTTAGATGTTTTTACAGCTTTCAAACTCTCCTTAAATACACGCACTCTTTAAAAAGTTATTTAAACTCAGTCTCATTCTATGAATCACGTGAGGCAATACATAAGAATATATGTGTGCACACACAGCACTCAAATAACTACTTGTTAGATAAATAAAGCAAAGTAGAAAAAACTGAGTGAAATCAGTACCAAGAAAATTAGAAAAAAAAGAAAAATTTGTGGAAAAATACAGAACTTACATACACTGAAAGCACAGAATGTTAAAGGAAAAAGATTGACTTCATGAGTTGTGATGAAAATAATCAATCAATTGCCCGACATCATACAATTAGTACGTGATTGAGCTAGGATTTCAAATCAGGTTTTCTGACTCCAACTACTACATTCTTTCCACTACAGCCTGCTATACTTTTCCAGATCACAGAATGGACAATGAGTTGTTTGATAAACTATAGCATTTTTCTTGTTAATGCACAAAAATTATTTTAATACATTACATAAAGTCAGATATATATCAGATACATAAACCAGAAGGTAAGCGAGAGGCACCTGTTGAAGAACTCTGAATGACATCATTTGCCACAGACAAAAATATTAAAGCAAATGACATTGGACTTCTGAAAAGGCTTCACAAATTACAAAGAACCCTCTAGCAATTATAGCTGATAAAAGGGCTCTCCTAAATTCCATACTTGACAACACCATGGTTAACTCCTGTTCTGAGAAATTAGCAGGGGTATGGAGTGTGTTTTCCATTTTTGTCATGCTTCATTACACGTGGGCTGATCTGTTATAAGCCACACTATCTTCCTTCAAGAGGTCTACCCCATATATGCAGAGCATTCCTCATTAGAGAAAGGGTCTTGGTAACAGGCTATTACAATGATATCTAATTTCTAAATTTTTAAATTTTCAAGCTGTGAATTACATAAATAAGACACTTTTCATACCTGACATCCTGTGATAATTTTATCAATAATAAATACAAAACTTCTCCACCTCCAGGTCTCCAGTTGACCGCTAAAGGCAGAGGGGTGTTTGCTCCACCCTTGTTCTCCATGCATGCACGACTGTACCCTTCAGAGTCAACTCACATTCTGAATGCTTCACTAAAGAGACATCTATGAAGTGGATTAGTGATGAGAAAAAAGGCTATGCCACAGTTAAACTCTTAGGGAAATGCTATCTGTAACATTTGTGGACACTGGATTTTGAAATCTGGAGAAGGCAATGTGAATTGCAGGGACACAAATGTTTACATGGTCACCAAAGAACTATTTTTCTTTTAAAAATTATCTTTCCAAAATTTCATTCCCTGTCATCTCTTGATATATTTACAAATCAAGCACAATTGTTTTATCATAAAATGCTATGGTGACCTGACAACCCATAATAAATGACCTGTCCATATATAAATTCTTTTTCATTTGAAGTCACAGTAATAAAGTGCCAGACTTATATTACTGGGTGCCATCTTTGCCATGAGACAAGCAGATCAATGAAAAAAAACAAATATCATTTCTTTATATTGCACGTTGGGTAACCATGATTTCTTTGGCAAATATTTATTCAGCACCTGCTATGTGCCAAATATGGGAAATAAACAAGATTAGTATTTCCCAGTTTTCACATAAAATATTGTATTGGTTTAAAAAAAAGAATTTTATCTAAAAGAATCTATAGGTTATATTCTTGCGGAAGAAAGAAAGGGAGGAAGAGAAGGAAAGAGAATTAATGAACAAGTTGGCCCAAACTAATTTGCCTTAACAACAATATTTATATTGACAATCATCATGATATCTCAAGTTCCATTGACCAAAAAAAGAGATGAAAGGGAAGAAAGACTATCCTTATGTTAACTCTGTGATCACTGTATCTGCTTGGACTTCAGATATTTTATAAGAACAACAGGGAAAACGATGCCTTACCCTGTCTATTTCCATTAACTAAACGGTGGAGAGAAAATGACATACACCTAAAAAAGAAAATCAACAAGAGAATGAAGTCCAAAATACAAAGACCATTTTTTGATGAATGGAAAATACTTCCATTATTCCCATTTCTTCCAGAAGAAATAGCTAAATCAAATTATAATCTTTCAGTGTGAAAATAACCTCTTTCCAGAAATACTAGGAGATGTTGGAGTAAGCATCTTGTAATATCTCCAACAATGAACTTTGCAAATGTCAAGTGATCACTGAGGTCGACATGGAGATGGGCCATCAGAAAACAGAAAATGCATTTCATAGAAATATACTAAAAAAATTTCAAAATATTAATTTCTCCTGTGCAGATATGGAAGTAAATTTTATAGTATTTGAGATGATCAGTGTTATCTTCTAAGTCATCTCTAGTTGTAGCTTTGAATTTTTTTCTTTCAGCCAAAATTCATGTAGGAGAATGTTACTTGCAAAACTTTTGAAAACATTTTTAACATTATTAATTTCTAGAATTAGTCTTGAAATGATACCTACCATTGAGCACTTAGGCCACAATTTCAGATACTTCAATCCATTGGCATTGTTATTCCCATTTTACAAATGAGAAAAGGGATACAAGAGTAGTAATTAACTTGGCCAGGGTCACCTGCTTGAAAGAGGATTTCTTTTTACAGGACTGGTTTGAACCCAGGGCCTCTTACATGCTAGACAAGTGCTCTACCACTG